TTTGAAGCCATTTAGGAAAGTCTACTTCAGGCGCCAATTTTGGCTCTGCCTGATCTCCCTCTTAGCCTTTTTTAAGATGCTTCGGAATTTGCCATTGGCAGTGCTCTCTTGCAAGTTGACTCTGAGCGTCGAGAACGCGTCATCGCGTTTGAGTCTCTCCAGCTGAAAGCTGCAGAGAAGAACTATCCAGTTTATGACAAGGAGCTACTTGCGATGAAGTATGCCATTGTCAAGTTCAGGCTACACCTGTTGGGCTCAAAGACGTTTGTGGTCTATACCGATCATGCGTCATTACGCACAGCAACACAGTTGCCTCATCTCTCGCAGAGAATGGCTCGTTGGCTCTCCTTTTTCGCGGGGTATAACTTCGAGGTGAAGTATAAGCCGGGAAAACAGAATGTTTTGGCTGACTCGTTATCGCGTAGACCTGACTATGAGCTTGCTCCTCTCACTGTTGTGAGTTCGTCAGTAACGGATCATATCCGTGTGGTGAAGCACGTGATGTGGCATGTGTTTCCGTTATGCAGGCGCTGGGTAGCGCAGAGTTTGAAAATCTAAGGTGAAGCTGTCACCACGTAATCGTGCGCGATTACATCGTTATGCACTGACCGATGGTCTGGTCTGTTGTCTATAGTACAGGGTTGGATGACCAACCATGTGTTGTGGTGCCTCATGATGAGGACCTATAGTATCAGATACTTTATGAGGCTCATGATACACCACTTGGTGGTCATTTAGGTCGTGAGAAGATCTACAGCTCAGCGAGCGCCCTTTATTGGTGGCCCAAGTTGTATAAATGGGTTGGTACATATGTACGTACGTATGAAACGTGTCAAAGGGTGAAGCCCTCGCCTAGTATGGCTGCGCCTTTGGCGAGTTTGTCTAAACCCTCGGGTTGTGGCAATCCAGTAGTATGGGCTTTGTGTTTGGCCTACCGCGTGATGCGGCAGGCAACACTGGGATTGTGGTCTTTGTTGACCGGCTGAGCAAGATGGCTCACTTAGCAGCAGTGTCGGACTCCATTGATGGAGAAGGAACAGCTACACTGTTAATGGATCGTGTGTTTCGACGACACGGATTGCCTGTGGCAATTATCTCGGATAGAGCCCCCGCTTTACGGGTAAGTTTTGGACATCCGTCTCTAAAGTTCTCGGCACTCGACAAGACTTGTCCACGGCGGATCATCCGCAGACCGATGGTCAGACAGAACGCGTCAACCGCGTTATTGGTGATATGATTTGGGGTGTTAGTGCTGAAACACCCAAGCAATGGAGCACGATGCTCCCTCTGGTAGAGTTTGCGTTGAACAACGCGGTGCATGCCTCGACAGGCTTCACCCCATTCTATGTGAATAATTTTGTTAACCCTCGCGTTCCGTTAACGCTACTCCCTGCCACATCAGGGCTTAGTAGGGGATAGATAGCCGAAGGCTTGGCTGATATCAGCCCTGTTGTGATGTGCAAAAAGGTGAAAGCGTTTATTTCAACGCGTTTTGACGTATTAGTCGCGTCAAAGACGCTATGGCTGAAAGCCAGGATGTTCAAAAGGAACAAGCAGATGCCAAAGGCAGGAAGAATGAACACGAGTTAAAAGTGGCAAACAACTTCGATGTAAGATAAACACGAATGCTATGTGTCCAGCAGTGTAACACGGTTACACGAAAATGTGTATTTTTTTACATACACACCTGCCACACGAATGTGGTGTGGCTGTACTTTGGGTACAAAAGTAGGTGATGTGATTGTACCTAAAGTACGAAGGGTCGCATCGTGGCAGAGAGCCACGTGGTCACTATACTTATTTAAAGTATAGTGACTATGCATATTTACATAATAATAAAAGGCTAAAGAGCCAGTAAATAGTGACTAGCAATAAGTATAGAGTAGAAGCTTGTATACATAGTGTTAGAAGCTAAACATAAATATAAATCAGTTTCAAACCTGCTCTGTATCGCACTAGTTGCTAGAACGTTCTATTTCGTATAGAAATTGTATCTATGCTACTAGTCTCTCTGAGACTCGGTTGTTAATACCGATAGGCACAAGCTTACGAGCTAGCCTAGGAGGGCTAAGCACCCTAAGACGTTGAAGCTCTCTGAGCTTGTCTTCCGCATAAGTAGCTCTGCTACAGTAGTTTGACTACTTCCTCTGCACATAGTTCATTTGCACATAGTGCATAAGTAGCGTAGCTACAGTAGCTCGGCTACACCTGGTAGCACTCGCAGTCAATCCCGCACCTGGTTTGCGACTACTTCTCTGTGTGAGAATGGACATCGATGAGATGTCAGTGGTTGGACTGTCACAGGCACAACAGGAAGGGTTGCAAAAGTTGCTCCCTATCCTTGGCCGTAAGGGCGTGGAATACCTCATCGCCCAGGGCGAAGAAGAGGTTAACAAGCGTATTCATATGCTTGATGAATATAATGAAGCTTTAGTCGATCATGTAAAGGCACAATGCCTTCTTCTGCGCCTTCGCCCATGGCGACTATGGCGCAAGAAGTGGTCCGCAGACCAAAACCCATACAAATGGAAGTCGATATGTATCGACGGCAAAGAAGGTGACAACTTTATGCTTTGGTTCCAATAGGTCGAGTCGGCTATGTTTATAGCCGACATCACCTATGAACTGTACCGTATGGAATTGCCATGGTATGCTCGGGGGATTAGCCAAACAATGGGCATTCACATGTGGTGCATCATTACAAGATGCTTTTCCCACATGGGCCGATCTGAAAGTTCAGATGACCCGGCAGTATGCACCGACAAACCAAGCACACCGTAACCGGTCGCGGTTTTTGGCGTGTCGCCAAGGCAAGCGTGAGCTTGCGGCATATGTACAAGATTTGAGAACTCTCATTGCTGCCATGGTCATAGACCCTATGCCAGGTGCTTTTTAGCGTAAGTACAATGCACTAAATGCTCGAAGAGCAAGTGTAAAAACACTAGGATGCTTAGAGTAATTCACTGAATGCTCATAGAGCAAGTACTGGAACACTAAAGTAGCTTTGAACGCAAGTGCGGAGCATTTTATTGCGAGGCAAGCAAAGTGGGAAAATTGAAATCGACAGAACTCCAAACAAGTTTAAAAATGGTGGTGAGAAAGATTGCAACGTGGTTACACAAAGGTGTGTGTTTTAAATACACACCTGCCACGCCATTTTGGTGTGGCTGCACTTTGGGTACATTGGAGTTCACAGCCATCTTTGGTGCAACTGTACAAAAGGTACAATGGGTTCACATTGTGGCAGGAAGCCACGTGGTCATTATACTTAGTTAAGTATTATGAATTCATATGTTTGCATATTAGTTGGCTACAGGGCCAAATAAATAGATGACTAGCACTAAATATAGATTAGGCGCTTCTATATTTAGTGCTAAAAGCTAAACATTTAAATATATCAGTTTCAAACCTGCACTGTACAGCATTTGTTGCTAGAGCATTAGTTCTTGTAGAAAAGAAGTTGTATCTCAGATACTGGTCTCTTGGAGACGCAACACTTGCTACTTTAGCACCATCAGCCTTTGTGCTTCGCTCGTCAATACAGGCAAAGCTTTATACACTTCCATTCCTGCTCACCAAGCAGTTGCGTTGCTTCATCATGGATGAGATGATGCGCGGTGACATCTTTGGAGACGTTGACAGCGTTTATTGTAACCATAAAACACAAACTTGTAAAGCTAGCCTTAGGAGGGTTAAGAGCATTAAGAGGGTTAAAAGCTCTAAGACGTAAACTTCCTAGAGCTTGTCATCCTCTGCACCACGTGCATCAGTACCTTTGCTACGGTAGCTCTGCTACACCGTTACCATTTGTGCACTTACGCGTTTTCTTCTCTCGTTCGTCTCCACAAGACCAATCCTACAAATTAATGAGTGATCAATTATGCCCCGAAAATCAATCTAATGGGCTGAAATCCCTTCTTTTTGAAATGAAGGAAAATCGTTTGAAAGAATACCGTTGTGTACTTTTGCCAAATGTATTATGGATCCTTCTAGTCGCAATCATTTCCGCAGCCCGGGCCAGGTTCGGCCGCTAATGAGGTTAAATTGATCATATTTGGTCAATATTCATGTAGTTGACGCACGTGTGCTTTTGGTTTTATCGAGGCGTTTGCAGAAATGTTGTGTCAACTCGTGGAATTGCTACCGCTTTTGGCGACGTTTTCTTCAATTACTCGACTTCAATTTATGTGACTGGTATTCTCTGCTTCACGTTCTGTATGTTCCAAAGTACAACTAATGTTTTTCGCGGCGCGCGACGTATTGGTTGCCAACAACGTTTTCTTACGTTGCAGGATCAATACATCAGATTAGCTCAGCCAAAGCCAATTCATCAATTTCAAGCTCACGACTAGTTCGCCATTTGCCATGAATCTACCGCAATTGCCCATTATTCAACACTTTGCCAAAGGTTTCTCGTTTGAAAGAAGTTGTACGCCATGTTAAAAATACTTGTTAAGGGAGTCAAGAGTCTTCGCAAAAGCAAAAAACGGTTTAGCGTCTGCCAGCTTTGGCAGCTTCTAACAGACACCGTCAGCCTCTTTCAACAATGTATCTTCAAGTTGTTATGCGGTCCCAAACGAATATGTACTGTGTTGTGTGGACCATCCTATGCGTGGTCTAAGTCATAGACCTTTGAGATAGCTTTTCGTTCTCCTCCATAATAGTATCAGCGATGAAAGAAGACAAAACTCCCACACAACGCATGTGATAATCTACCATAAAAATCTCTTGCTTTTGTATCTCAATATTTGCGACTGGATTGCATTCTGCCACAGGTAAAGCGGTAAAATGCTGCCTCTTGTCCGCTTTCAGTTACCTCATTGATGTCACTGATTTTGACCCAATCCATCGCAGACGTTTAACGTGTGTGTGCCATTTTCACAGACACTCTTCGAAAAAACATTGCTTTTGTATTTACTTGAATAAATATATATCAGCATGGGAAAGAGGTGTTCAGTTCTGTCATTAGGAACTCTCGAACTAATAAATAGACAAATTGCTTAGTGGCGCTCGCTTTCAGGTAGATCTTCATGAATCAATTCTTGTTTGAGCCACTCGAGCGTGTAAAACTTACCTAAAGCAAAAAGCTGCAGACGATCATGCCCAACCTGATCGCGGTAATTCTTGAAAAGCCATTGCAAAATCTCCAGCTCATCTGCCGTCGTTGCGTTTACAAACGCTTTGGACGTGCAACCTTCCGATCGCTCACTTTGTAAAAATAACAAGACTTCGAAGTGGCCATTCAAAGCTGCTCGGTCCATCGCTGCGCTTGTACATCCTTCATTTCGATTCTCGCTCAACCATTGCACAACCTTGAGGTGACCTCTGCCTGCAGCATTATCCATCGCCGCTGTTGTGCAGCCCTCTGATCGGTTTTTGTGAAGCCATTGCACAATATAGAGGTGGCCTGCACTAGCAGCACGATCCATTGCGTTGCGTGTACAGCCTTCTTTACGATGACTATGAAGCCACTGGATTACATGCAAATGACCTTGAGCTGCAGCTTGATCCATTGCGTCATTCGTACATCCCTCCTTGCGATGCCGATGAAGCCACTGAACAACCTCCAAATGCCCGTTGCGAGCTGCGAGGTTCATAGCTGCAATAGTGCAGCCCTCTTTGCGATTTTTATGGAGCCACCGAACAATGTTAAGATGGTTTGCGCGTGCCCCACCGTCCATCGCTGCTGTCGTACAGCCCTCATTGCGATTTCGGTGCAGCCACTCTACCAACGCCAAATGGCCGTTCATCGCGGCACCATCCATTGCGCGCCTGGAGCAACCCTCGTTTCGAGTAGCGTGTAGCCACTTTACAACGTTAAAATGTCCGTTTGCTGCCGCCTCATCCATCGCCGCCACTGTACATCCTTCAGGCCGTTGCACATGAAGCCATTTTACCATGTCTAGATGGCCATTAGCAGCAGCCAAGTCCATGGCTGCTGTCGTGCATCCTTCTCGTCGGTTTTTTTGCAGCCACTTGACAATCTCCAAATGTCCATTCCCTGCCGCCTTGTTCATCGCCGTCGACGTCGCATATCCGGCATTCACTTGCAACCATTTCAATATACTCAAATGCCCATTTGCAGCGGCATCATCCATTGACGCAGACGGCAAGGAGCTAAACACATTCCCTCTTAGCCACTTCAGCACGTCCAAATGTCCTCCACTTGCTGCTAACACGGCTGCATATGGTGACCACTCTCCTCTGACATCGCAAAGCCATTTGACCATGTGTAAATCTCCATTCTTTGCAGCTTCCTCCAACGTCACAAAAAACATGTGAGTTGGTGTAGGGTTTGTATGCATTTGGAGCCACTCAACGACGTGTAAATGACCATTTTTTCCCGCATAAAACAATTCTTTTGCACCCCAAAACACTTGAAGAAAATGTGCTTTTTGACAAGTGCTGGTCTTGCCACATCTGTGGTCATTTGTGCTTTTCCTACGAAGCCATTGTAGCACATCCAAATGTCCGCATTTTGCTGCTTCTTCAACTGCTACAGTCACATAACAATCTGGAAATTGCTGTACAAGCCACTGCATTACTCGTAAATTTCCTCTCCCAGCAGCACGTGCCATTCCAAGTGTAAAAACTTTTTGACGAAAGAATGGGTCCTGCTTTTGACACAGGAAGAATGACGCGTTGGCATCACTTTTGTTCCTGTTTTGGTAAAATTGTGGTGACTTTTGACATTTTGACAACATTTCTTCCGCTTGTTTGACACAAAGTGCTTGGTACATGACGATACGTTGGACAAGTCGCAACGCACCATCGTCAATAGCAAAGCCACAGGCGTCGGGTAATGATAAATGTACTGTAGTATCCAAAAAGCTGCTGATAATTTCGGTTATATAAGGCAACGCAGCAAGACGTTGATTGGTTCGACTCACTACTATGGCGGATGTGAATGGAAGTTGGGACAATTTCATCCGGACGCTTCTGTAAGATGAAAAAGAAGATGTACTAAACGACCAAAAAAAGTGTTTGTTGGAAAAAATCCGAGGTAAATGATAGCATGAGTCTTAAATATCAGGTATTGCAAGATTACGAATATGTGTTTCTATGGTTATGGCTTATATCGATTGCCAAAGGAATATTTAAATATAGAAAAAAAACGAGATCAATCAACCTACGTCTTTTCATGAAACCAACTTCCTTTGTCAATTCACGCCTTTTGTACTATCAGCATATTCAGGTTAAATTTGAACGGGTCAGAATTAACATCGAGCTTGTGTTTTTAATTTTTATTTTGTTATTATAAAAACACCAATCTGATTCGTTCCAAATAAAGTAAATGTATTACGACATAGAGCCACCCGCATGTAATCGTGACTCATTTCTTTCATAAAAAAGGGTAAATTAGGTGGCACACGATGCAAGAAGAAGTCCGAGGCGATGGTCACTCAGCAACGTCTCCATAAGCTGCTTTAGCGCACGATTCGTATGGAGCTGTGACTTCGTCAGTGGTGCACGTGTCAAGGGATCAAAACATCCATTCACTTCAAGGTGCTGTTCAATCATTGATCGTTCATATGTGTTACCATCCGGTGTTGTAACTGGATCGTTCATCAATTCCAAACTCAATGGGCAGTGAAAAGTCTCCATCATTTGCGTCAGTGTCTTCTCCGCATCTTTACTGGACACCAAGCCTTCCTTTTCACCGCTACTGTGATCATCATTCAAGTCACTGACGTGGTCATTCTCGTTAGGAGAGAGCAAGGTATCGTAGACTCCTTGACGCAACAATCCCACAACTTTCATTTCCATAAGAATGGACCATTTTAATACACTCGTAGTCATTGGTGCACCAGTTGCTGACAAGGATAAATACGCAAAAGCTGCCGATGCCGCACTTGCACGATCAAAAGCTCTCTCTAATAATTGCAAAGCTTCGTCATATGCTTTATGAGCTCGACGACACTTGCCTTTCCACAGCAAAATAGCAGCCTCACCCTCGACGGATACACCAGCAATATCATGGGCTATACTCAAGTATTGCCACGCATTCTCGGTTTCATCTAACGCAAAGAAGCATTTTGCGCATGATACGTAAGCACGAACGCGCTGGCGCGTTGTCTCGGCATCTTCCACACAGTTTTCTTCAGATGACGACGCAGCAATGCTTGGGGTGCACGTTGCAGCTTCTTGGTAGCACATAATTGCTGCCTGAAAATCTCGGCGGACGAAAAAGTCATCGCCCTTTGAGAGTTGGTGACGCATGAAGAATGGGTTTTCGGCAGACGTCGAAATCTCAATTGCTTGAATTTGCAGGTCTGGCGACGAATTTGCCATGGCTGCAAGATAGCTTGCATTTTCTTCCCACAAGTGTGCAAGACCGTGAAAAATTGCAGCTTTATCACCACCAAGTGCTTGAATAGCCTGGAAATCGGGTGCCACCAGGTCGAATCTTCGAAGGCGCAAATTTGCTGTCATTCGGTATGCAAAACACTTGACATGCTCTGTGTTGTCTGGCAAGTTGTTCACTGCTAGAGTGAGCTGCTCAACTGCTACGGGGTACTGCTTGGCAAAAAACGCTTCTATTCCTTTCTCCATCGGTGATTGCTGCGCAGGGGTAATACGCCAAGCACACCACATTGCTTCACCTTCAGTATTGCATGTTTCACGTATTCCATCTGGCGCTACTCGTGTCAGCACATGGCGTCTTTTATTGTCCATGATATCTGCTGTCGGTGCATACAAAAATTCGCGCTGGTAGGGATTGTACAATGCAAATACATCTCTTTCTTCGACACTCAACGTCAAGAGCTGCCATTTTCCTGCCGGCCCAGGAGGCTCAGTTTTTTTCCTCCACGTAAAAACTCGACTTCGCGTCTTCCCTTGCATATCCTTCTTAAACTTTGCGTAGTCTGCAGAGTACATATACTCCTCAAAACGAACGCTCTGCACCAAGAATGCATCGGAATTCACATCCGACGGGATCAATCTCCACTGCGCTTTTGTACGATCTTTCTCTTCCGGCCAAGCCGCCACTTCACTTCCGGTACCTTCTCCCACCCAGCACAAAACATTACGTCGATCATTGTCAAATGTTCCAGCATCACCAGGAGCATATAGTAACTCCTCTTTGCTTGTATCTCCCTGTCTGTACTCGCTACGTCCTGTTCTCGACAGGATCTTAAGTTCTAGTGGCTGTCCGCTGGCTACAGCACGCAGCGTTGGACTCACCCATGCGTACCAATAGCTCTCTGCTCGCACTCGTGCACTTCCCTCTAAGTGACTCATAAGTTTTAGCAGAAAAAAGGCCAATGGCAGCAACGGGAACTTGCGCTGACGAGCTTCGAGTGCTCTTAGTGCGTTCCCACCTCCCCCCCGCGCCGCTACTTGGTGCTCTTAATGCCGAGCTCACGTTATGCAGTACAGCACATCCATCCAGTGTCCAATGCCAACTGGGCAGCGCTTCCAAGAACGTAAGCAGCACAGGAACATCAAACAGCCCTGCAGCGTAAAAGTCTCGTAATGTCGCCTCTAGATACGATTTACGACGCGATTCCAGCTCTGGTAGACGCAAAAAACTTGCGCGTGCACGATCAGGTTCTTTGTGAAGCAAATACACGCGAGTCTCAGCTAGTAAAGGCTCCATATCAGATGCTAGATGTGCCTGAAAACTCTGCAGCTGCATGCCAGATTACGACACTTCTCTGAGATAATGAGAGAATGAATGTGATAAATCCTCTTCAAGAGAATGTCAAATCCTGCCAAACAAGATATCAAGCAGCAATATGGGCTACATAAGAGTTGAAGCCATTACACTTTATCGGTTGTTTAATCTTATCACTCTCTACTCTAAACTTACAACGTAAACTTCTATGATATCAGGACTTGGAGAGAATGGCTACATAGAGAAATCCATCGCCATAGCAAAAGTTTCGATAAAGCTCGACAATTGACACTTTTAATGGAACACACACACCGTGTACGACGGTCTGGAACTCGTGTGTTTGTGAGTCTGATAATGTCTCTGGAAACAAATCTGGTAGTAAAAAGTAGAGTACTTCCAGCAACGTCTTCTCACGTCCTGAACGTGACATCGGTATTAAAAATAACGTGTCAGTACCACAACTGTTGTTAAAGTATCATTTACCACTTGGCGCACCATTATCCAGTGGTGCAATCGGCATCTGAATTGCTGGTTCGTTGTTAAGATGTACTCGAAGTGGAAGGTGCCGCAAGGCAGAAGCGTCTACTCTTCCATCCAAATGCAAATCATGTGTTGCTTCCCGATAGCTCTCATAGTCATCTGCCACACAACAAACAAACCAGCCAGCACGTCCTGTCAAGCATTACATCCTTTACTCTGCTTTTTCATAGGTAAATTTTCTCTTACTTTGTGATATACTGGTCCAGATATTTGTTTGCTGGGCTTCAGGCAAGCCCATGACAGCTTTCGTAGACCCCATCCTTAGGAACGTGGCCTGTTTGAGACTATGCATAAAGTGCGACTCCACGCTCTTTTCATTTTCAAAAGGTAAGAGAATATCAGAGGGAAAGCCCAGAAAGTGGACAGTCAGAGCCCAAGGTAGATCCGCCGTTCCAGGACCACATAGTAAATCGCGGAGCAGTCCAAAAGGCAAATGCCAATGCAATGGAATACCTTTAACCTCAAACCAGATGGATGATTTCTGCATAGTAGAAATAGGTGGTGCTGCTTCCCTAAAATACTCGACAACATCTCGTGTCTGAGACACCAAATAGCTCATACGAGGCACCATTGCCTGGAAAATCAACAAAAACGTTAGTTGGTCTAATTCAATAGAAAAGATTATACGATGAAGATTGAGTGACATACGTAGAATGGTTGAGGTGCGTGCAGTTTGGTAACCTCATTTGCGTCGAGATTGAACACAACGGGGATGTGACCGGCCCATAATCGCTGCTTCAGCAGAGCCTCGTTCGAGGAAGTGGATGGGATCGTCGACATGATTAGGTTGATAAGTTACAATGTTGCTGTAAGAGCTGCACCGGAAGAAAAGAATGAGAAATGTTGCGCTCGATAAGGTCAAACAAAAAACAGGAATTCGAGCAACTGTATACCTAGCCAATTAATTATGTGATACGAAATCGTTTAAGTTTTTTTTACTTTTTTCACTTCGCTTTTTTGATTGGTAGCTAAATAATTATAATATTTGCTTTTGAATACTCCTCATGACGTGGTAATTATGAAGTTACTTGGTATAATATACAAACAAGCCACTTCAATAATGTGAATTTTATGATTCAAGTAAACAATAGAAATGCACAATATTGTTCACTTAAACAGTCAATGCCTTAATAGTTTGCTACCTAATTCGCGAGCCAACGCAGATCAGAATATGTCAACGTCGCTCCGTAGGTTCTGTATCGAATGCGTGCTCAAGTAAGCGTATCTAACACGTACTGCGACTGATTTATTACGGGCGCTGGGTTGGCACTAGCGGTGATGGTCTTTAACAAACTTATGTTAACATTTAGTCAGTATATCATTAAATGGGAATTTCTATCGCTATTCATGATCTTTGCCCGTGAGGAGTCTGGTCTCTCACTTGAATTCAAAGAGTAACTTCATTCTAGAGATGACCCTATCATTTGTTAGTCGCATGACCTACATATGTTATTCGTGTATATATCGAAAGAGTTTTCTGTTGCACCAAGACCCTCTTCCGCATCATCAAGCCACGTGTTTCTAGCTATTTCTAGGGCATCAGTGTTCATGTTGCGTATATGTCGTATCCGCTCGTCGTTAATTACTTGGAAACTTAATCCGATAATCATGAAACCTTAAAACTTTGGCTTCCATCTACTTTATGTAAATCCGTTTTACTTGTAACAGCACGTATCATACGGTGAAGTATTCTTGTGTACTCTTTCGAAGATATTCAGACCTATAGGGTCACATGCCAACTTCGTTCGGGCGGTTTGCTGTTTATTTAGCAACTAAAACCGCCTGCCGTTTAAAATGACACCTGGCTTTTCGATGGTACAGTGCGCTCACCAGTATAGTCGGACCACCCGTAGGTACGAGATTTGATTCTTCATTTACTTCTTCAACTACGGCAACATTATTTGTTCAGTTCCTTCACTAATTAAGATCCCTTGAGGTCTTTTTTCAGTCCATAACTTCATAAGAAAAGAGCTTACTCGCTTGTACAAACAAAGCTTCATGTTGTAGCTATATAGGTAAACTTATCGTCTACTTCTTCCACTGTCAACTTCTGCTGACTTTGAAACCGTTTTCACTGTTGTAAGAAGAAATTATCCTTCTGACATGGTCAAACGCCTTTTGTTTACTTCCAAATGTAGTCTTGCAATGCAATTCAAAGGCCCTTTTATCGGCTTATTGTTTTCACCTTGTGTTCTTTACAAACCCAAGTCAAATGACGTTCAAATCCGCCGCTCGAATAGTAGACATTTGTGCTCGGAACTAGTCCTATGCACGCTAAGGACGTGATTGTAAACCTCTGGATACAATACAAATACTTGTCAATGTTTTGAACGCTGCTATCGAACATTCAAAAACTAGAAAAACACTACTGAATATGTACAAGTGAGCATGAAGGGCGTTTCACACATGCCAAGTGCCCGACACCTTATTCTGACCACTCCAGAAAGTTCTAGCATTACACGCATTGGAGTTATTTGTCAAGCAGGGCTATGGATGAAGGGCATTCTACAAACGACGTCACGGAACCGGAAGCATGAGAAACAATACAAAGCGCAATTCCCGCGTTGTTTTGGACGCCTCTGTGACACCTAATGCGAATTCGAGCTATTTACCTGTTCTCGAAGAAAGAACTTTTCAAAATTCTCACGAAGTTCCAATTTTGGATGTAGACGATCGAGGCTCTCTATCGCACAATTTTGAAGACAGTGTTGCTACGGCAGCAGCTACAGAAGGAAGTGAGCTATATAAACCTCGAGCTCGCCCGCCAGGACCCTTGCAACGGCTTTTGCGGTCGTGGATGGTGGCTCGATGGAAGCTTTCACGGAATATTTTCTCAGTCTCATTACCACTTTTGACGTGGGCTAATATCAAGTTAGGTGACTTATTGGTCACTTTGCCGGTTGTGATGATATCTACTGCGTACTCCGTTTTTCAAGCAATGTCTCGAAATGTTGCAAACACTGGCATACCGGCATCAGTTGCATTGGCTCTTGTATTTGGTTTTGCCGTTCGAAATAACTCATTGCTGCTTTTTAGCACGGGAATCTCATATGAGCGAGCTCTATTCTATCACAAATTTGCTGCATTCGTCACGATTCTTTTAGCGGCGTTGCATGGATATGCGTTCGTGCTAGGTTTACGCAACAGTGAGCAGAGTCGAGAGAACCCCAAGATTGTTACTGGCTTGGGAGCTTTATTTGGCTTGGTATTGATGTATTTGCTGTCACTAAGCTTTTTTCGGCGGGCATTTTTCAGGTTCTTTGTTAGGGTGCACTGGATCCTCTTCATTGCAATTGTAGTGTGTGCGATTCTTCATGGTGCCAGAATAGTCACCGTTGGAGTAGCTCCCTGGGCAATTGATATGTTGTATCGGCTGGTTTACCGACCTCGCATATACGCCCATGGCCCAATAGGCAAATCAAAGAAAGGCATTATAGCTCAAGATCTTCTCTCTATTTGTGCTTTACCAGGAAACATAACCCGAATTCAATTTCCACGAGTTTGTCAACATACCGGCGACAATTTCGCTTATGAAGCTGGACAATATGCATTTCTGTGTGTTCCATCGATATCCCATTTCGAATGGCATCCATTCACAATTGCGTCTTCACCACACGAAGCGATGGTCACATTCTACATTGAGGCGCTGGGAGATTGGACGACCAAATTGTTATCTGCAGCCCTTAAGCGTGAGGCAAGTGCAATGAGAAGTGACGGCCGTTCAACGTTTGATTTGCTTGTCGATGGTCCATATGGTAAACTTTCACTTGACTTGATGACTCCGACAATTTATTCGCAAATTGTGTTGTTTTCGAATGGAATTGGGATGACACCAATGCGGTCCATTGTCAATTGGCTACATCATGAATGCTACTACAGAAGTCGCGGTGCGATTCCACACGTGAGGTTCATTTGGTCTGTGAAAGATGTGGAGACGATCTCAAGCTTACTTGCTCGAGATGAACCGAGACGTGACAGCTGTCTCGAAGTGGACGAGGTGGCGTCTTACTTTCCTCACATCCTCGCCCACCCGAAAAACACAAATTCACCGACTGATGCGTTTGTTAGTGAAGTATATCTTTGTCGAGACATCATGGACGAGGAAGCCCAATGTATACCAGAGCTTGCCAATTGCTTGCACAATGGGTCGAGACCAGACACCATCGCCATTCTTCGTGAAACGGGAGAAGAAGCCAAGAATTGTGGTAAGGATCGAATTGCAGTGTTGGTATGCGGACCTTCGACCTTAGTCGATGAGGTTCAGTATGCTAGTACAAGACTTTCTCGCGAACTAAAGGTTCACTACGATGTACATAGCGAAATATCGGAACTGTAGGATGTAAATATATAACCTAATTTAAAAGGTGTATCGTAAACGACACAAGCAAGTGTCGGCACCATTTTGCCAATGCAAAACTCTGTTGCATACAAACTTATTGGTGTGTATTGAGCTCTAGAATGCGTCTTGACTAACAGCCGCGAACCACCGACTTTGATATTTATGCGAATGAAAAGAACTAGGTAATATCTTAAATTGACGTTTCAAACCTAGTCATCATAGAACTACCTTGATGTTGTGGCGGAGTTGTCTCAATCGTTGAGTCCACGCATTTGCTAAAAATGTCTGTGGCGCAATGGTAATATTTGAGACAATTATGAGTACCAATAGCTTACGTACAATAACTGTGAGAAAAAAAACATCATAGACCCAGGAATTAATTGCCATATAATTATTGCCGACAACTTCAAGTTTGTCGTCAGTTTCTTTTTTGTCAATCATATGCCAGTATTTGTATTTACCTTATCATTTCTTCTAATTACGATTATTAAGTTTCCACTAAGTACATTTCCCTTCTTTCCTTTTGGATTAACTTAAAGCAACCAACTCGCCATAGTAATTGTCGCACCTTTCCAGGCTCGTATCTCTAATGACAGAGCGTTCCAGTGCTTATGCAGTATCTCCAGCTGTTGGTCACGAAATTAACAGCCTTCCTGTTGGTTTGCCCGCGTCTGGTTCGTCCTCTAAAGCCGAGAAACGCTCAGCCGCTAATGCTTTTGAAGGAGACAGTGTTGAAGATTTCAAGGACAAGGAAACGACGTTAGACGACGTTTTAGTGCCTTCATTGGCTAAGAAAAGCAAGTTGCTAGATGAAGAACTGCCGGATGTCGATGATAATGAAGAATTCCCACAGCAAACGGAAGAAGTAGACGAAGAATTGGCTATTGAGGGTGAAAATGACTTGAATACGGACGAGGAAAGTCTTGTAATGGCAAGTGTGGACCACACTATGGAGCAAAAGAACCTTGACATAGTTAATGAACAAGATGTGGACGAATTGGCACCTTTAGAAGAAGATAAGGAAGAAAATGACGACAGTGAAGTGCCAACGTCTCAGAATAATGAAATTGACATTGTAGACGTTGATGAAGAAGAAGAAGAAGAAGAGGAGGAGGAGGAGGAGGAGGAGGAGGAGGAGGAGGAAGAGGAGGAAAAGACACAAGGTTACGAGCAATCTAGTGAACAGGATGATGAAGATGAGGAAGAGGACGCACAGGAAAATGCACGAGCTATTGCACGTGCTCAGAATCAAAGTGAAGCCAGGCAATTGTTATTGCAATTGGATGACTCGACTAGAAGCAAATTGTGTCTGACGGCACTGGAAAAGTATGGAGAGGAGCTGTTCTATGGACATGAAGATGCACGAGATGCTATTTTAGTCGATGCCTGTGCTCAAGACTCGATTTTGTCGTTGATGCGCGATGCTATTCGAGTGAGGGATTTGTATTTAAGAGGATCATCAGCAGCTGCACCATTGGAGTTGGATGACGATGACGATGATAATGATGATGATGATCAAGAGGGAGAAGATGAGATTGGAGGCTATGAAGATGAAGAAGAGGATGCTGATGACGAGGAGGAGAAATCAACAGGTTCTACTGACGATCACGATGAAGAAGTCGTTGTCATTTCGGAGGCAGAAGATGGTGATGGAGGAGACGGCGAAGCTCTGGGTAGCACAACTTCGTCACCAGGTATTGAGGCTCGTCCCTCTGGAACTACATACCTCAGTGTGAGTGGTGCATATGGCAAAGTGGTAGACGTAGGCTTGGAAAAAATGCTACATCCTGCTGGCGAAATTAGCTGTGACACAGATATTAACAAAGAATGTGGAGGTGACCAAAGCGAATACGGGGCCATGGAAGATGAAGAACTAAGTGATGTAGGGGCAGCAAGCGACTTGGCATCAGAGTTGCCAATTGATAATGAGAGGTCCTAATTACCAGTCCGAGCAGCTATCCTGAATACTAACTCATCATTGCAACACCGACACAACGTCGTGCGTAAGTCTCGCCGCATGTTTTTGCTTTTCTCTAACTCTTAGTCGTCAAGCTAATTGCCTTTCTTAATAGCTGGCCTCAGCTTCTGCTGCAGCAGCCTCAGCTATCCTTTCCTCTCGGGTCTTGTGTTTGGTGACTCGCGATGCGATAACCGTAATGTCGTCTGGCACCCCACCACCCCATAACAAGTCGTTTTCCTTGGCAAGGCGGGCGAAGGGCGAGTCCCGCGATCGGTCAAGAGACAAGTCATAGGCCTTCTGTACAAGCTTGCGCGTCATGGTCTTAAGGTCAGGCTCAGTGCGCACAATCTCAAGTAGATCTTCTTCGTCTACGTTATCGAACAGTCCGTCAGTGGCGAGAATAATAAGATCCCCCTCAAGCACAGGTACCCGCAATCTCATGCCATTATCTGGAGTTTCGAAAAGCGGTTTTTCACGCATAGGCGAGTGCGCTCCGCGGGCCAAGTCTTCTACGACATTACTCACGAGATCGGCACCTGCAAAGCCCAACTGAAAGGGGCAATTGAAGTAATGCAGCTGTTGTGGTGAGCGGTATGTAACGTGGGCTCCTTTTCGTCTTCCAGCAGGCGTGAGATCCTGCTCGCTATTTGTAATCTTACGCGTAAGCGAGCCATCTAGCGTACCACGCAATCGTGCCGTCTCAAGATCCGACGCTTTATCGCGAATAATTAGAAACCCGGAGTCTCCCAAGTTAACGCCATGAAGTTCTCCTTGTTCAGGGTCCAGTGCTAGCACACAAGCAGTGGAACTGCCAATGATTTCTTTCTGAAGCACTGTGGACCAAGCAGCGTGCAGAATTTCTGAAGGCTCAATGTCGTGATTCTTTGCGTACGATACTTGTACTGCCTGATGTGCAGCAACCATGAGCTCCTCCGCATACCGCCGCGCGCTAACGCCTTTTTCAAACCACGAGCCCACACCATCAGCAATTCCCATTGCCAGTACATCCGCTGGTCCCTGTGTGCCATGCGTTACCGCCGGAACAACTTCAATAGATCTATCCTTTGGTGCAAGAGCTGCTGTACCACCTTCTTCTCCGTGAGGTACAATTCCTAAGAAAAAAGCGTCCTCTCCACCTGTAACTTTCTTCTGTGGATGTGGAATTGACGTGGCAAATGAATGCAGGAAGTATTTCCAGTTATTGGGATGGACATTCTTACTATCATCAGCAAATTAATTAGATCCAGTATACTTTGTGTCCTCAAAAAAACAATGATGGAGCAGATCTCATACTTTTGAACAACAGTCTTGTCGAGGGATGTATTGGCTGGCAATCCCTTGCGCGGTAGAATAAGGTTCACATAGTCTGACTTGGCACTGTGAATACATCACAACAAGAAGAGAAGATGTGGTTTAACGAGACGCAAAAAAAACTTGCAAATTGTCAAATAAACGTTTTCACTCACTGACCTTGTGGGGTCAGGATTCAATTGTGCATCATGCCGATGTATCAGCGACGCAATATCCGTTAATGATACTGTACCCAGTAGTTTACTGCCTTTTAATACTGGCAGTTCTCCAACACCTGATAAGGCCATTACAGCTCGACACTGTATCCATACAAATCTGTTAGATCTTATACCCTTTCATTTTCAACTAGGAACAAACCCATTACATCTTCCAGCGAATCGTCAGGCGATACAAACAATACTTTCCGAGCTGGAATTGCTACCTGTGACACCTGATACCAATATAATACGTACAATACAATCACTTTCCATCGAATCGTACACACACATAAAAGTCTGTCTCTACCTTTATATTCCAGTCCGTCCTCTTGCCCGTCGATCGCATTCGTACGACCCTCTGCAGTGCCAAACGATTCGTCATAAGTCCTACTACCTGATGCTGTTTATTCACAACCACAAGCGTTGCGGAATTCTCGTTCTGAGCCAGACACTTGATAGCTTCCTCCAGTGTCTTGTCCTCATGAATGTAATTGGTTTGTTTACTACGGAATTGTTTCGAAACTTCGAGCAGATCAGCTACGATCATGCGAGAAGGAGACGGTAGTGGCGTTGTGCTGAGATAGTTGCGTAATTCAATAGGTAAGAGCCAAGAGGTGTAGACAGTAGCAACATGAGACGGGCGGCGTATAGAGCGATGCCATTGTCGGCCGGACAGAAAGAGCCGCTTCATGATACAGCACAAAAGCTGAGGATATTGTTCAGAGACTTGAAATGATTGCAACAATCATTGGATTTTAGCGGAATTAATGAATAAAAAAAGTGGGTTAAATGTGTTTTTTTTGTGCAAGCAAAAAGCGGAATTTAAATACAGATAAAAAGGTGATTTTTTTTACCAAAACGACTTTACGTTGATCGTTTGTGGAAAAACGTGCTTTTTAAAAAAACATGGTACGAGCTGACGTCGTCTCATGCATTTTTCTTCTTCATGTCCTCATAGTATCGACGATGATCGGGATCAAGTTTCATTGCACGTTCATACAGCTCTACGCTTTGTTTCTTCGATTCTTGCCAGCCATCAACCCCTGAAATCGCACCTGCACGGTAGTGCAGATCAGCTAGCGTAACAACGACCCACTTTGCTTCCGCCTCCATCTCCAGTAATTCCTCTAGCCAGTGTACTTGGCTCTTTATGAATCCAGCCGTGTCCTCTGCAGACGACTCCACCAGTTTCAACATGGATGTTAACAGCCAGCGATAATAAAACCACGCACTCTGGTCATCTGGCTCTGTGAACACAGCTTGCTGCACCAAATCAATCTCATCAAACAGCATTGTTGCCGTCAACGGTTGCGGCAGTGTAAGGCTGCGATAATGCAGTGCTGAATAGTTTGAAAAGTTTTGTTCAATCTTTTGCGTCGTAAACGCCAACTCGTCCTTCTTGGACAGTCCAGCCATCTTGCACACATAATGACGGTAGGTCCAGCAGTGAAAATTACGCTCGTCTAAAGCCACAAACAAACAATTACACAACTTCATCAGTATCAACCACAACAAAAAAAACGTTAATGCAAGCCATCCTACCGAGTTCCAGTAATTTATCACACAATCCAATTTCCTTTTTTAGGTCTCCCTGTCCACGATCAATAATCCATTTTCGCTGAAACCAAGCTGAGTAGGATTTGGGATTTCGTTGTAACGCGTCCTACTCACCATCATAGAAAAGTCACAAAAGCACTTTTATTCTCTGTTCGTCATGCAATTCTCGTGTAATTTTCACTATTTTTAAGTTACCATCGTCAGTTTAAGTTCCGTTTTGGCCATTTCTTGCATTTGAGCTACTGGATTTTCCGCTTTTTCGGAAAGCGCGTCAATCACTTGGCGGCGATAGTTCCAAATTGTGTGGAATTCAGGATTTAAGAGCAGCAAGTGACTGGTCAGGGGTAAAACGCTGGGCTCGTAACATTGCTGCTTCTTCATTTCTAGCACTTTCTCTGCTACCTCGTGGTACATACACACCTTGGAGAGCTCTTCCTGGCGCTGTTCATCTGTTTTGTGTTGCTGCTTCTCGCGCTCGACGCTCTTGACACGTCCGTGCATAATGTCGGATATTATGTGAGAGTGGCACTCGAGCGGGGGAAACGCTTTGATTACAAACAGATTAGATCAGGAGTCGACTTTTGTTACTTCAGGCTTTTTTGGTATTAATCTCAACGTAATAATCTACGACTTTTAACTTCAGACTTGTCACAAAAACCAGTGACAACGTAATAAAACAAAGACATTTACGTTACACTTGCTTACCTTTACAATTGAATTAATATAACTCGGACAATAATATTGTTTAACAAGTAAAAAAACCATACCGTAGACTAACGAATTTCATACAACCGACAATGTTTAGGTCGGTAGTGCATCAACCGTCAACCTTACGGCAAAAACTGCGTTATAGAATCTGATCGTTTTATTAATCATGAGACGGCTTCTCATGGCAATTTTGGCAATAATATTGTGGATGCACCGCATGAGAACGTTAAACGAATGGATAGAGAACGTAGCTAATAATACAGCCACGCACAAACATCTTGAGACAATGCAGTGGCTCACTAAGCACTTGTTGAATAACTTGCATGTAAACCGCAATGAAGTCTTTTTAGCCTGGCAATGAATCAATCCGCGATGAATGGACACATTAAGATTGTCGTGGCTACCAGGCTGCTGCTACCGGACTCTTAGAGAGGGGCAAAATGGCTGCAGAGCCCTTCTACGGAAGGGTGCAGGACTGCCGCAATGAACGACGCTGCGCTGAACGGTCATCTGCTTGTAAGAAGAAGGCTACAGACCGCGCCTTTGGTCACATTGATAGCGTGCAACGGCTACACGATAATCACCAGTAGGGGTGCACAACGGATACTTTAGACCGCGCCTGCATATCAAGGCAAACTTGACATGGTCAAGTGGCTCCACGTCCAACGCAATGAAGGCTGCAGCTTAATCGAAATGAACAGTGCTGCTAGTGCAGAGAGACTTGACATCATGCAGTGATTACACTCGACGTATTGCTTGGGTGCAGCAACCAAGCGATGGAAGCAGCCACGATTGGGCGGTCACGTTGACATTCTCGACTTTTCAACGCAAGAGACGGACGTCTTGTGCAGCAGACGTGTCTATCAAAGCTATGGCCAAGAAATTCGACACTGGCTCTTCCACCATTACTAAGGTCTATCTGTCCAAGCGTTGCTGCGCATTGCCAAGCGATATGACCTCGTCGACTGGTTTGTGCGGACACGCAAAGCTGTCGAGAATGAATTGTAGTGCATGGAAGAGAAGCTGTCTTGATGTCAATACTTTGCACGGTCAACTAGAGACATACCAATCTGCTCTATGACAAACAATATGAAACCCGTCTTTGTTGCTTAAGCCCTCGTGATCGTTCCAGAGATTTCTTTGGCGCGTACCTTAGCAGCTCTCAAGAGACGCAACAACAACTTACAAGTGGAAAGTGTATCATGATACCTGCATGTTAGCAATTGGTCGATTTTTTTGCATAATAGCGAGATGTTGATGGTACATCGTCTTTCTTTCATGACAAAATCGCCCCAGCACTTGTGCAAGCCCCCCCCTCCCCACCCATGGCGTCTATGGATTCTCCACACACCAAACGTTGAAACCGCCTTGACGTGCTGGTGCGACATTCTTGCAACTTGAAATAGCTAGTCAAGCTCCTCGGCACGAAACTGCTGCTAAAGCTTTCGTGTGATAATCAAGACATCTGCTTCTTTATTCCGTCTATCCATGTAACATAGAAGCAAAAGGAGCTTTGTGTTTTTATGATCCTAAAAGGTTGTACAATAGTCATGCCAAAAAATGGCGTCACGATGAGGCACAATCCCATTGATTCTTGACGTCACATCTTTTTTGGAGAGACAACATTTCATCGGTGACATTCGGTAGTTAGTCAGTTCCACAGGTTTCTTCTATTCACGTTTCTATCACTTTCTTTTCTACCAATCGTTACGTCGTACACATAGCAGCAAAACAAAAGAAACGCCCCTTCACCTACGTCAGTTGTAGATTCCTTCACATTGTCTCTAGTTACGCATAATGAGTTCCAGTTGCACGCTCGTAGCTGATCGTACAGATGACGCGGTGCAAATGTTGCTGGGCTTTATTGCTCTATCATCACTCTATGCTAAATGGCACTTTGAACGACCACGGAGATCCGTCAAGATCTGGTTTATGGATGCGATGAAACAAGGAACGTCTGCTGCCATGATTCATGTGATGAATATTTTATATGCCATTGGTCTCGTTGACTTATCTGATACACCCAGTGATCAGGATCAGGTAAATTGTAAAATTAAATACTCTGTTGATTCGTCAATTTCTTTGTTCGTACTCATGACTTACTACGTACTTGTGCAGTGTGCCTTTTACTTCATGAATGTCGTGATTGATACGACCCTAGGCGTGTACATTGCGTATTTATCGCTGCAAATGTTTACAATAGTTGCCGTACGTCGTGAAAACCTATTTTGAGAGCAAATTTTGGGAGACTGGAGGTATTGATACATCATGTAATATCATAGATTCGACAGCAATGGACAAGTCTCCGGTGTCATGGATACTACGGCTCACCACCGTCGTGGAAGGTTTGGTGGTTGCAATTACTAGAGTGGTGCACTGTCCTGACTGTCATGAAGTTCCTCGTTGGTGTGGTGCTGTACGCCTTCTCAACGCCACTTGGCTGGATGGGATCGCTGCTGTTTTACCCCGTGCACAACCATCCGAAGATTGAGCTACTTATCGTCATGATTGGCTGTCCACTGGTCATGAACATGGTGCAGTTTTGGGTCCAAGATAGCTTTCTCATGAACAATGATCGGCAGAATAGTGAGCAATTGCCGCTGTTGAATTCGTCAGTGGACGGTGTTGTAAACGCAGTACAAAAGCAGCGCGGCATGTCGAATGTCTCCAGTGCTGCCGATATGTACGAGATTTTGTAGTTGCGTTGCTGTGCTATGCGCTTACATGGAAGTACGTGCTTTATCATTAACGTCCTATTGTGTTGTTGTGTGATTTCTTCTGCAGGCGAACGCATCCCCGGGACGTCATTGTGCGAATTGTGTGAAGCCATTTAGACCATTACAACATATGCGTAGAATGATTTCATTCAACACTACCTAACCTTTTAACGATATTGACACGTCTACAAAGGTGGCTCGTACTAATAGACAAGTTTGAGTGTATTTCTGTAAATATTATATAGTGGAGTTTACATTGGGAGATTTCATACTTTTATAAAAATAAAGTCAAAAAATGCACTCTTTTTCTTTTTAATTCCCTGTCAAAACAATTCAAGTGCAAAGAATTCAACGCCACTTTTTGCAATATTATCGTTTCGACTCATCTCGTAAATACGCAAGTAAGAATGGTTCGTGGACGTGGAAGACGTCATGGCAATAACGGAGGCAGTCGTGCGACGCCGTATGAAAGATTGCGTGTAGGTCGTGGTCGTCGTCGTGAAGGTGGTGGTGAATTAAAGGGACGAGTGAAGGGAGGCAGTGGAGGTCGTCGGGGTAGCGTCAAACCCAAGTCTAAAACTGCCGAGGAATTAGATGCTGAGATGGACAGCTATTGGGGTAAATCAGAGGAGCATGCGGCCAAGAAATTGGATAGTGATATGGACGATTATTGGAAGAATAAGGAAGACAAGCGTAGGTGGACGAATAAAGGAGTTTTATGTGATGAAAGTGAACTACTAACTTTGTATTGATAATAACTAGCCCAGGAAGATGATGACAAGAAGAAAGACAATATTGATGACGAAAAGGAGAAGGAAACAGTGACAAACAAGATGGAGGACGAGGTTGTTGCTCAAGAACCCGCATCTATTACGATGGAATTTGCTAAGGAATAGACAGGCATGAAACAGAGATTGGAGATATCTTACTCTGCGCTTGTAAGGAACGACTGTTTTTTTTCTATCGAAGCCAACAAATGGCTTTTTGTCTTAACAGAGAAATGCCATTTAGAGACATGTATTGCCCAGCGACTTTTTTCTATAGTAACCGGAGGAGATTTGTTTTTAATGATGTTGCAACGCGACTCAACAATTCTGTTTGAAAACTTCTTCCAATTGAGCTCTCTCTAATTCTTGTATTTTTCACTGGATGGATGTTTTCTTTCAGCCAAAAACTTCCTGAAGTTTGCCGATAGCAGCTAGCACTAACCAAAGTATACCTACGATTACCGAGAGTATAGACGAAAAAAATAGATATACGGAAGGCAAGTAGCTCTGAACGCTCACCAAGACGACCTGTAGCTTCGCCGTACCCAGCAGCAAATGCGCCCATCGTGATAATGGATGTTAAACAAAAAGAACCCAGGTATGTGAACGACTTAACCGTGTCGTGCAGCCCCACCGCAGGCAATACACCGAGGATGCCGCCTGGACCCGCGATTCCATGAACGATACCTACTATCAACGCAGTGCACTTAGAAAACGCAACACAACAAGTTAAAACAATAGATCACCTTTGTGCCCGTCTATAAAAGATCTATCAGCCGCACAAATACCTTCTGCGTCTGCGCGCTCTGCAAATCTATCGTCGGCAACTTGAAGCCGCAGCACAGGGGTCCTGTACCTCGTTTAGCTCCGTCCATTTCGATATCCGTTTCATCGCTAGATTGGCTGCGATTTGACAGTAGCTCCTCTAGCGCAACCACACTCTCACATGGACTTGTTCCTTCGGGGAACGTGTCTTCACTATCGAAATGTTGTCTTTGTGATACCTCCACATCAGCAACATCTGCGTCATTCTCAGCATCGTCGTCACTCTTCTTTACACCCTTCAACTCGTCGAGCTTTTTCCGTCTTGCAGCAGACGCTACCTCTTCCTCATTGCTAATAGTTACTGAGAGTTGGTCACTCAATACAATCGCTCTTTCCTCTAGCGACGTGTGACTAGGTATCACAATGCAATCAGTCTCCATTTCTGTCTCCGTTTCCGTCTCGGTTCCTTCCGACGCTATATCATTCTCTTCCTTCATCCTTAGTTCGCTCTCTTCCTCAA